CTGAGCTGTCCTGGTGCCGTGCAGCCACCTTGGGCCACCGTGCTGTGCCAGCTGCCTCTTATGGTCGCATCTATGCTGGCAGGGGCACAGGCAGTCTTTCACAGCCAGCCAGCCGCTACTCTTCTAGAGAACAGCTGGACCTGCTCCTCCGGCGGCAACTGAGCCGTGAGCGACTAGAGGAGGCCCCTGACCCTGTTCCACATCCCCTGAGCCGGCCAGGGTCCCAGGAATGCATGGACGCTGCACCGGGCCGACTGGAGCCCAGAGATCGGGGCAGCACCCTGCCACGGAGGCAGCCACCCCGGGACTACCCTGGCGCCATGGCTGGCCGCTTCGGGTCACGGGATGCGCTGGACTTAGGGGCACCTCGAGAGTGGTTGAGCACACTGCCCCCGCCCCGCTGCACCCGGGACCTTGATCCACAGCCCCCACCTCTGTCCCTGTCTCCCCAGCGGCAACTCTCAAGGGACCCCCTCTTGCCATCCCGGCCACTGGACTCTCTGTCTAGGAGCTCGAACTCTCGGGAGCGGCTGGACCAGGTGCCTAGCCGGCACCCCTCACGTGAAGCCCTTGGGCCACCCCCACAGCTGCTCAGAGCTAGGGAGGACCCAGTCAGTGGCCCCAGCCATGGCCCCTCCACAGAGCAGTTGGACATTCTTTCCTCCATCCTTGCCTCTTTCAACTCCTCGGCCCTCTCCTCCGTGCAATCTTCAAGCACACCCTCGGGCCCTCATACCACTGCCACACCTTCTGCCACAGCCTCTGTGCTTGGGCCCTCCACGCCACGTTCCGCCACATCTCATAGCATCTCGGAGCTGTCGCCAGACTCAGAGTAAGTATGGTCCAGCCACCTGCTTGCACCCTCATCAGCTTAGGGCAACCTCCTGTGTGCCCTGCCCTGTGTTCTGCCACAGAAGGGGATGAGGGCTGGCAGACAGGTATGGGCTACCCCAGGCCGGGCACAGCCAGAAGGCCACAGGCTGGGGACAGGAATCTGGCAAGAAATGGGGGTTGTGACTAGCAGTGACTTGCTGGCTGTGTGACTGGGGCCAGCCAGCCTTCCCAGCACCTCCCAGGCTAAGGAGAAATAGGTGCCTTCCAATGTGTTGAGCTAGTGGAGGGGAGGACAGGAGCTGAGGCCTAGAAGTGGGAGATGACCTGGAATATGCAAGGGGCAGGGAGGAGAGCAGGAGGCCTTGCTTGGGAAGCTTCGCCTAGGGGGTCGTATAGGACAAGGAGAGGCTGGAAGTGGTGCCAGGATACACCAGGCTGAAGAGCTTGCTTTGTTGAGGATAAATCATTCATTCATCGATGTATTCAGTCAATATTGAGTTCCTCCTGTCTGTGGACACTTTGGGGTGGGGCTCACAGGAACTGAGTTGGAACCTGGTTCATCTCGGGTACCTGTGAAGCATCTGTGGGGAAGGGGGTGGCAGACAGGCCCAGGAAGTAGTAGACCCAGGAAGTAGCTGGATACACAGGAGTCTGAGAGGGACTGGTGGGAGTGGGGAGGCACCAGGAGCTGCCAAGTCTTACAAGCCAAGAAGAGAGTTGAGTTTCAAGGAGGAGAAACAGCTGGGTCAGGCTCTGGGGGTTTGTGGGGTAAGAGATGGCTTGGGGAGGAAGGGAGCCCTGGGGTGGGGCAGGGAACCAACAGAATTGACCAGGACCCAGGGCAGAGAGAGGACAAAGGAGAAAGGAGCAGGGTTTTGGGGGTCCTGGGGCCTGGGCACTGAGGGCTGCTGCGGGGTAGGGACCAGAGGGAGCTAACCCACTGCCTGGGTCCCCCTGCAGTCTAACTTTGGGGTCTGGCTGTTTGGGAGGTAGACTACGGACTGAGCAGGGGTTCAGGCTCTGGAGTCACAGAGGTTTGAGTTTGAGCTGTCTTACCTCACTAGCTGCGTGACCCTAGGCAGAGGCAAGTCTTTCTGGGCCTCAGTTTCCTCATCTGTAAAGGAGTCTGTAGTAATAAACTCTTTGAGATGTGGAAATCTATGAGACAATATCTGTCAAGTGCTCAGCATAGCATCTGTACACAGTAGGTGCTCTTGAAGCACTCAGATAAAAGACCTGGGCAGCCAAGGAGCCTTGCTGAGTCTAGGGGCACGGAATGAAGGACTCTGAGAACCCCAGAGTGGGCATGAAGGGGCTGGGGGCTAAGAGGCAAGAGCAATGGTGGAGGCAAGGGGAAGAGCCAGGCCAAATGTGGTGGGGGAATCCAGAGCCGCCTGACTTGGAGCCCTCTGGGCATCAATCTCTGATTTCCTCATGTGCCTCCAGAGTTCCCAGAAGTGAGGGTCACTCCTGAGGGGACGACGGCGTGGACGAGGAACAGCTGAGGGTGACAGAGGATAACAGGAGAGACTCCAGGAGTGGGGGCGGATCCCAAGGCAGCCTCCTGCTCCCCAGTGGCGGGTGCCCCAGCTCTCCCTGGCGTGGCAGGGTTGAGGCTCCATGCGCATCTGTGAGCATGCGTGTGACAAGTGCAGAGAGGGGGGACTGGAGGGAGACTTTTATACGTTTTGTACCTTTGTAACCAGAGAGATGCTTATGTTATTTTTCAGCTTTTCTGTCTCCTGGGGGGTTTGAGGCTGGGCTGGGAGGGGGAGGGAGATAGAGGGAGACATGCAGTTTGACCCCATTTGGGTCCTGAGCAAACCCTATGCTCATCTCTCTCTTCTTCCTAGGGTGGACTCAGATGGGTGGGACATATGCCTTCCTCCCCCTATTCCACCCCCAAGTTGATCTGAGTATCATCAGGGGCCCAAAGCACAGAATTGTCCTTTGCTTTTTCTTGAATGCCCCAAAGGCCAAACTTCTGGGGCTGGGGGTTGGTCTTGGAAACAGGGGTCGTCTGACCTCCTCATGGGGGCTCACTCATGCCGCCCCTCCCGGTGGATGTGTGTGTTTATTATGTGGAGTCCCTGCCACTTACTGCCTTATGACCTAGGACTGATGCTGTGGGGTGCTGGTGGAGCAGCTGATGTCGTGTTTACAGAGCAAGGCTTCCCTGTCTCCCACGGGGAGGGGCTCGGGCCTCTAGTCAGACATTCCTGCAGAGGGTCGGTGGAGGGGTCATTCACCTGCCCCTGCAGCGAACAAAAGTTGTCTGTGGTGCCATTTGATTCCCTGACACTGCCCCCTGCTTGAATCGATTCTGAAGGTTAAGGTGGGAAGGTGAGCAAAGGGAGCAGAAACAAGGGAATTCAAGACCCAGAATGTAGGTGCCACTGCCTCCTATGTTTACAGGATCCTCCGTGGCCCTAGGCACCCGGGCTGCAGGAAGTGACTCCATTCCACTCCTCCTTTATTCCTTTAAAAAGGGAAAAGTGACTGTTACGACCCTGTTCACAAAACTCTTACTTTTGCTATTTTGTCTGCTGTCCAGAACTGGAGACTTTAAAATTTTGTTACTGTTTACAAGTCCAGATTCAAAAAATGTTTTTACTTTGTTTACAACTCAAAACTTTGAGCTTTTACACTTTGTTTACAGTAGAGAATTTTTTTCCCCTTTGTTTACAAGTGAAAGGTAGGGAAAGTAGGAGAGGGACTTGGGGGACCCACCTGTGAGGACCCTGACCTGGCCATCTTGAGGGGTTTTCTAACCCCCAGCTTTCCCAGGCCAAAGGTCAGCCTTGAGTCCCCAGACCTAGAAGACCTTGAGAGTAGGCGTCCTCTAACCACTGGGGAGAGTGGCTGTGCAGGGTTGGGGGGTGGTCTGTGCAGACACCTCCTCACCCACCACCCCATGCATACTCTTGGGAAGCAGTTTCCTGGGAGATTAGAAATTCTACTTCCCTGACTGGAGCTAAATCCCACCAGCCAGGACCCAAACTCTTACCCAGAAGGACCCCAGCTCTTGAAGGGCTGAATGGCCTGCTGGGGGTGGGAGGGTGAGTTTGCTATGTCCTAGGTTTCCTCGATGCCCCTCTCTGGGGGGTTCCCCTCCTCCAGCCCAGCGGCCCTCTGTCCTGTCTGTGTAAATTGTTCCGTGAAGCCGCGCTCTGTTTTGGGAATAAACTTCTATAGAAAACAGTTGTTGCCTTTTCCTGTTGGGGGCTGGGGAGGTAGGATGGCAGCTGTGAATGATTCAAGCCAGACTGACCTTTGAGAGGAATCTGAGCCCCTCCCAAGAATATCCAGCTATTTTTAGCCCATTTCATGGCAGATCTCTTTCACCTTGAAATCTGGCTCCTCACCTTGTGATTGGGGCCTGATGTTGGAGCACAGGTGCTGAGAATAAGGTGCTAAGGGAAACCTCCCCCCTAGTCAAGGCAGCGGCACCAGGATTTCCTAATTCTTCAGGGTCTGCAGCCCTGGCCCGGCATTTTTTGCCCTCACCTGGGTGAAACCAACCTGAGGAACTGCTCTTGCAGTTCCCGCCTTGCCCACCAACAGCACCGACCCCCACAATTCTCCTCGGCGGCCCGCGCAGGAACCTTCTGGGAGCGATGTCCGGGCTGTGCTTAGTGCAGCGGAGGGGATCCTCCAACCATTTCTGGCCTGGGTGGCCAGAGTTAAAGGGGAGGACTTGGGGATCGTCGGCTCCAGATCTCAAAGACATGCCTAGTCTCAGAAAGCCTGAGGGTGGCGCTCTCAGCTGGAGGCATGAGAAGCCCCACAGACCTGGATCCCCCACAAGTTAAGGCTGGGGTCCACCGGCCACACCCCTAGGCCTCCCGGCCAGTGGAGTCTCCCTTTCCCACTCCGTGAGTACCTTCCGCCGAGCCAGTACCTGGGATCAGCTCCAACCTACTCAAGGCCTCGGGGCGCGACTACGGCCAGCCCAGCGCGGGTGCTTAGTTCCAGTTCTGCAGTCCCATCCAGCTCGGGGCAGAGGGCCGGGCGAGCAGCGAGAGGCCTCATAAGCCAGGTCGCCAGGGTGGAAGTGGTTAAATCCTTCTTCTCCAGGCTCTCCCCGCCCGGCGCGCGCCACTTAGGTCCCGCCCCAGCGCGCTGATTGGCCCAAGCCTCCCCGTCCTGCCCCGGGATTAGCTCCCGGGAGCGCGCCGCTGGCCTCACTCGGTCCCGGCGACGCCTTCCGGAGCGTAGAGGCCTCTATGCTGAGCAGCAGGAGCAGCCCGCGCCGGACAACGTGCGAGCCATGGGGCTGGCGGATGCGTCGGGGTGAGTTCAGAGCACAGCCCCGGTGGCCCCGCGCAAGCGCCTCGCTGGAGCAGGCATTCTCCGCTTGCGACGCCTCGGTTTACCTCTGCCGATTTTATGCAGGCGGCTGCCCCTCTGCAGCAAGGGGTAGGGGCGGGAGCCGGCGCGACCCCAGTCCCTTGGGCTGTGCGGAAAGCCGCTGGTGTGCCGCCCGAGGGCCATCCCGGGCCACAGGGAGGCAGCTGCGTATGGAGGAGCCCGGCCAGGAGATGTGCCGGCCGGGGTACGTGGGGGCCGGGAGTCCTTGGCTGCGGCCCGTGGACTAGCTGCTTTCAGCTGGGTCCCGAGTCCACCCAGTTCCACTGACCCCGGAGTGAGCGCTCCAGCCTTTCTGGCCCCAGTTGCCCTCCTACAGGGAGAGGCCAATGATCAAGGCTCCGCCCTCCAGGCGCGGGTCCCACGTTGTGGGGGGAGGAAGCCCTTTAAGAAAACCTGAATGACTCACGTAGGAAGGGAGAGGGGGCTCTAAGATCTCCTTGAGATAGCGGTCCCAAGAGTTTCTGAGGATCTTCCTTGCACCCACTCCACACTCCCAACAGTACAGCCAGGTTAGAGGCCCTTCCCAGGTGAGTTCCTGTCCCTCAAATGGGATCCTCTCCCCAGGTCAGGGCTTTTCCTAGATCAGAACTTTCCTGACTGGTGAAATCTTCCCCAACAGGCTAGAGTTTTCCCCCAGGTAAGATCCCTCTGTGAGATCTATTCACAGGTGACAGCTTTTCCCCATTCCACGTGGGAGCCTCACCCCAGGTCAGAACTTTCCCTAAGAGAGAGTACCCCGGAGGTGAGAACCCTCTCCCTCTAGGTCTTCTCCTTCTATGTGGGATCTTTCTCTGACTTCAAGTAGGTGCCTCTGGACAGAGGGAAGATTCCCCCTATGTCAGAACTTGCCTGGCTGGTAAAGATTCTCTGGTAGGTCAGAGATCCCTCTAGGTGAGATTCCCCTTGAAAGCTTCTATTCCCAGGTGAGCTCTTTCCCCCACTTCAAGTGGGTACTTCCCTTTCCAGGTGGGAGCCTCTCCCTCTAGGTGAGATATTCCCACTGGAAAGAGCTCCTTCTCAGGTGAGAGCCAATCCGTGGCTTCCCCAGACCAGGCCTGAGCAGTGTACAACCTGGACCCTGGGGCTGGAGGCCCGGGGGCAAGCTTGGCCCCAACACTTTCCTTCCCTTAGAGGGCAGGGTCTCATCTGAGGCCTGAGGCTTGGGAAAGGAGTTGCTTGAGGAGCTGGAGCCCTGGTCCCTGGTTTGCTGGACCCCTTCCCTGAGTGTGCTCTCAGCCAGCAGTGGGCTCCCGGGGCAGCTGGAGGAGGACCTGGGGACTGGACAGGGATTGGCTAGGGGAGAGGGATTGCGGTGGGAGGGAGCAGCCTGGGACATGGACTGTTAGAGCGTTCAGCACTGGGCAGCCACATCTCGGCTGGAGGTATAGATAGTGCTCATCCTGCAGTCCCTACTTGGGGGACTTTGTCCTAGAAAGAGGCTTTCTCACCAGCCAAAGTTCAGGTCTGAGTTTGGGCATATGGCCCACAGATGCCAGCTTGGGGCTGGAATACTGTACCTTGATCTTAGGGCCCGGAAAAATCAGGTAGGTAACTCTCTGGTCCTAGGTGGAGGTGTAGGGGAGGTTGGGCCAGGGGTGCCCTCACTGTCTCTCTCTGGTCTTGCCACCCCAGACCGAGGGACACGCAGGCACTGCTGTCTGCAACACAAGCAGTGGAGCTGCGGAGGCGAGACTACCACATGGAACGGCCGCTGCTGAACCAGGAGCATTTGGAGGAGCTGGGGCGCTGGGGCTCAGCACCTAGGACCCGCCAGTGGCGGACCTGGTTGCAGTAAGGCCAAGATTGGGGCTTGGGGGTGCTGGCAGGGCCCAGGTAGCCCCTGTTCCTGACGCTCACCTACCCCTCATATCATGTCCCCAGGTGCTCCCATGCTCGGGCCCGTGCCCTTCTGCTCCAACACCTCCCGGTTTTGGTCTGGTTACCCCGGTATCCTGTGCGTGACTGGCTCCTAGGTGACCTTTTATCTGGCATGAGTGTGGCCATCATGCAGCTTCCACAGGGTGAGCCGCCTTCAGTGCGTTGGCCTGGAAACCCTGTGGTCTGTGATGCCCAAAACTGGGGCCATGACCTCTACCTTGGAACTATGGCACCTAACCCAGGGCTGGGATTCCCCTATCGTTTCAAGATCTGCTCTCCAGGCCCGCACTGCTACCATTCTACTCCTAGGCTTGGCCTATGCCCTCCTGGCTGGATTGCCCCCCGTGTTCGGCCTCTATAGCTCCTTCTACCCCGTCTTCATCTACTTCCTGTTTGGCACTTCCCGGCACATCTCCGTGGGTAAGTGGAGGCAGGCCTAGCCTTCCAGGAGGATGCCCACATCCATCATGGAGGGCAGGGTGAGGGGGAGCTGAGCAGGGCAGGAGTGGCTGGGGAAGAGGGCAGCATTGGTGCTGCATCCCTGGGCTAGCCCATGAGTCATACCCAGGCAGGACTAGACCCCTGACTGTAGGACCACAGAGGCAGGGGACCTCAAAGCCCTGGCTCCAGGAAGATGTGAGTGGGCGAGGCAGCCCAAGGGGCCTGGAACTTGGCGGAGGCCTGAGCAGCCTAAAGCAAGCCCTGACCTCTTCCCTACTCCGCAGAGCCTCTGTGTCCCTGGACCAGTAGACACAGGTGGGACAGGGTAGATGAGGCAGGGCCAGCATTTCTAGCCACGCTTAAGGGCCCGTGAGCTCAGGGTTCACTCCTGGCCTGGCCAAACCTGAACCACCAGCACTGTCCCTGTTCATGCAGCCATAATCTGAGGACATTTGTCCAGAACTGGAAGTCTCCTGGCCTGTCTCTTAGGACCAGGGCTCCAGCGCAGGACAGTGTGCTCTCCCCTTCAGACCTGCCCCGTGCTGTCCTTACAGGGACCTTTGCTGTCATGTCTGTGATGGTGGGCAGTGTGACAGAATCCCTGGCCCCGCAGACCTTGAACGACTCCACTATCAATGAGACAACCAGAGACGCTGAGCGGGTGCGGGTGGCTTCCACACTCAGTGTCCTGGTCGGCCTCTTCCAGGTGTGAAACAGTCAGGAGTGTGTGTCCCCCGCACCACTTCTGCTCCTGCCACTGCCCCGTCTGCATTCCTCTGAGTGCTGACCATCGTCGTCCTCCTCTTGCCATCCACTCATCCCACTCCCATCCCACTTGCCCTGCGCTCCTCATTAGCTACCCCAGGACCCCTGCCTGTCCTGACTGCCCCTGGCCACCCCACAGGTGGGGCTGGGCCTGATCCACTTCGGCTTCCTGGTCACCTACCTGTCAGAGCCTCTTGTCCGAGGCTATACCACAGCTGCAGCTGTGCAGGTCTTCGTCTCACAGCTCAAGTATGTGTTTGGCCTCCATCTGAGCAGCCACTCTGGGCCACTGTCCCTCATCTATGTGAGTGAGGGCAGGGGGAGGGAGGGGTAGGTGTGCCCCATGGCCTTGAGCGCTGGCTGTGACCTGGCCTCTCCTCAGACAGTGCTGGAGGTCTGCCGGAAGCTGCCCCAGAGCAAGGTCAGCACGGTGGTCACTGCAGCTGTGGCTGGGGTTGTGCTCCTGGTGGTGAAGCTGTTGAATGACAAGCTGCGGCGGCAGCTGCCCATGCCGATACCCGGGGAGCTGCTCATGGTTCGAGGGCCAGAAAGTGGGGGGTAGGGGAGAAGGACAGGACAGGCTGGGTCCCTGCCACGTGGGCAGCCTCCTGTATTTGAAGGCCAGCTGGAGGGGGACTGGGGGGATTCTTGGGTATTGTGGGGGGCACAGCAGAAAGCCCCTGTGTTGGTTTCTTCCTGCCCCTGACAGCCTCTCCCCATAGTCGAAATGGTGTTGACCGTCTCTCACCCTATGTGACTTTTTCCCACCTCTGAAGGTTTTGCCCAGTGTCTCCCTCCTCACCCCACAGTGGTTTACATGTCCCCCGACCATGATGCCAGCACCTGCCTCCCTGACTCTGTCCTCTCCCACAGCTCATCGGGGCCACAGGCATCTCCTATGGCATGGGTCTGAAGCACATATTTGGGGTAGATGTCGTGGGCAACATCTCTGCAGGGTGAGCTCTGGCGTCCGTCAGGTCAGGGAGGCTTGGGCAGCCAGGCCAGGACCTTGCTTTGGCCTCACAGATGCCTCTCACAGGCTGGTGCCCCCAGTGGCCCCCAACACCCAGCTGTTCTCAAAGCTCGTGGGCAGCGCCTTCACCATCGCTGTGGTTGGGTTCGCCATTGCCATCTCGCTGGGGAAGATCTTCGCCCTGAGGCATGGCTACCGGGTGGACAGCAACCAGGTCTGGGTGATGCAGGATGTGTAGGAGGCATCCAAGTGTATGGAAGCGCCAGCAACGGGTGGGGGAGGAACAGGTGGGACATGGGGAGACAGCAGATGTGCTGAGGCCACGTGGGGGACTGAGGATGGGAGAGTAGGACGTGTGGGACAGCATCCAGTCTCTGGGGGCCGCTTGGTGGGGATGGAGATTGGGGATACACAGGCCTAGACACAGTGGGACAGTGACAAGCCACTTCTAGGAAGTCTCCTTACACCCACACTGCCCCCCGTCAGGAGCTGGTGGCCCTGGGCCTCAGTAACCTCATTGGAGGCATCTTCCAGTGCTTCCCCGTGAGTTGCTCTATGTCTCGGAGCCTGGTACAGGAGAGCACCGGGGGCAACTCGCAGGTGGGTTTTGGGTGTGGGCATGGGTGTGGACATGCCTTGCCTGGGGAAGGGGGTCTCGCCCCTCCTCATCCCCTCCCCCAACAGGTTGCTGGAGCCATCTCTTCCCTTTTCATCCTCCTCATCATTGTCAAACTTGGGGAACTCTTTCGTGACCTGCCCAAGGTAAGCCCCCACCCAGCCAGGCTTCAGGTCTTGGCCAGGTCAGGACTCAGATCAGCCAGTCTAGGTTCAGGTGAGGGGTGGGGACACAAGGTTAGGTCCTGTTTTTCAAGGCTGAGATCTTCAAGGTGAGATTTGGAGACAAGGGTCAGGGGCTGGGTGGGGGTTTGTGTCGGGTTCTGCCTGAGTGCTTGGGCTTAATCTGGCCATGCCTCGATGGGGAGGGTAGACAGCACCGGGTGCCCTCAATGGCCCCTGGCGGCACTGTTCCCACCCCAGGCGGTCCTGGCGGCCATCATCATTGTGAACTTGAAGGGCATGCTGCGGCAGCTCAGCGACGTGTGCTCCTTCTGGAAAGCCAATCGGGCAGATCTGGTGAGTGCCCTGGGAGCCCGGGGCAGGGACTGGGCAGCCCCATGGCTCCTTGCCACCCGCCGACCACTGCCCTCTGTTCTCAGCTCATCTGGCTGGTGACCTTCGCAGCCACCATCCTGCTGAACCTGGACCTTGGCCTGATGGTTTCGGTCGTCTTCTCCCTACTGCTTGTGGTGGTCCGGACACAGATGTGAGTCCCCCATGTTGGTCCCCTCATTCCAGCTAGTGAGGGAGTGCCACAGGGCTCCCTGCAGCTTTCCCCACATCTCTGGGGGACTTTAGGCTCCTTTGGACCCCTCTGTTATCCCCTTTTTCTGCCCCCTCTTCTTGCATTCTTTCTCTCCTCCACAGGCCCCACTACTCTATCCTGGGGCAGGTGCCAGACACGGATATTTACAGAGATGTGGCAGAGTACTCAGAGGTGAGTGGCAGGGGCTGAGCGGAATGACGTGGATGGGGAGATGGAGGAAGAATGAGACTTTGTGGATTCGTTCCACACTTGGCCAGGGCACTGGGGGCTGAGGACACTTTGGTTTGGTCTTTGGGATTTCAAGGGAGGAGTTTGGTTCTACGACCCCCTCTAGAGGTATGAAGGCACAGAGGGAGAGTGGACAGAGATGGGTCTGGGGCTGGGGAGGGGTCTGTCATGGAGTCAACAGCACAAGCTCCACCTGCAGAGCAGCCCTGGGTTAGAGAGCCGGAGTGGCAGCTCCCTGGGGCACCAGGATGGAAGGGAGGCATTTCCTGATCTGATCAGAGGGGTTATTAAGTCCTCAGTCATCCATTTATCTCCTGAGAGATAAATTGGGCCAAGTGCTAGGAACATAGGTGGGGGGCTCTGGAATAAAACAAGGCTGCTCCTTGCAACATGGGCGCAGTGCGATTAGGCAGTGTGGGGAGGAACTAAGGGGTCTGAGACATGGGAGAGGATGAGGGGGGCAGCCCAGCCGTTACCATGCAGGCCTGGAGCCCAGCAGAGACCTGGGCTGTGACCTGAATGGGGTGGGAGGTGGGGAAGGTCTGGTTGGTGTGACAGCCTAGGAGGACCTCTGGGTGCAGAAAACAGATCACAAGGCAGGGTTTGGAAACCCAGGAGAAAGGTTAAGAGCCTGTGAAGGCTGCCTGGGTGGTGGCAGGAGAGGTGGGGAGGGAAAGGCATGGTGCGGGAATGGGGATGACACCACCGGGCTTGTGGCCCAAGCCCCTGGGAGGGCCTGGACTGCAGCCTGGGGAGCAGAGGGCTGGGCGGTGGCAGGCACTGGGCACACTAGGAAAGGAAAGGCAGGAGAACGGATGCAGCCCGGAGAGAGGAGATTCAGCCACCACTAGTTCTGCCTCATCCCCAGGCCAAGGAAGTCCCGGGAGTGAAGGTCTTCCGCTCCTCGGCCACCGTGTACTTTGCCAACGCTGACTTCTACAGTGATGCGCTGAAGCAGAGGGTGAGGTGGGGTCCCCAGGATGGGTGTCAGGCCCCAGCTCCCCGAGAGCTCACCAACCCTTCTCTGACGTTTGCCTCCAGTGCGGTGTGGATGTCGACTTCCTCATCTCCCAGAAGAAGAAACTGCTCAAGAAGCGGGAGCAGCTGAAGCTGAAGCAACTGCAGAAAGAGAAGAAGCTTCAGAAACAGGCAGGGCCCCTTTTGTCTGGTGACCCCCGTCTGCTGCCCCCTGCTCCCTGCCCCAGCCTTTCTCCTGGCCTCCCGACTCCTCCCTCATCCTCACTCCTCATCCCTTCCCCTTTGCTCTCATGCTCCCAGGGGCCGTGCCTCACTACCCTAGCAGGTCCAGGCTTTAGGTCACATTTTGTTTCTCTCCCATCATCTGAACCAGTGACAGTGTGAACCATCACAGTCCTCTTCTCTTTCATGGCTGTTCCAGGAGCTTCAGCCTGGTTGCTGCAGGTCCCACAGCTTCTGGTCCTGGCCCACCTACCTGCCCAACACCAGGGGGCATCACCAGGCCTACATGACATGGCTGTCATGGCAGCCAGGATAGCTGTTTCCCATTCCCTGTCTTCCCTGGTGTAGGCTGCCTCCTCCAAGGGCGCTTCAGTTTCCATTAACGTCAACACCAGCCTTGAAGACATGAGGAGCAACAACGTTGAGGACTGCAAGGTGATGGTGAGGCTGGAGGTGGGAGAGGAGGGGACAGCTGTGAGCTGCAGAGACGCAGGATCCACACGTCTCATGAGGAGTGCCATGGACCCAGCAGCTGTGGGCCAATGGCAGGAGTTGTTGGGGCTGGATCAGATATTCTGCAGGGAAATTCATGATATGCCACAGAATCTAGGCTTAGATTCTCAGGCCTAGATGAAGACCTTGAATTTGTAGATGCCACAAGACTCCCCCCCGAGTCTGCTTATGGGTAGAGGAAAAGGATTGGGTGTATGGGAGAAAATCAAGGGGTCAAAGGCAGGCGTGGTGGTGCGCACCTGCAGTCCCAGCTCTTTGGGATGCTAAGGCGGGAAAAGCATTTGAGCCCAGAAGCTCGGGGCTGCAGTGCGCTCTAATGGTGCCTGTGAATAACCACTATGTTCAGTCTGGACAATGAAGCGAGACCCCATCTCTGAAAAAATATATAGGGGTCAAAGAGGATGCCAAACTTAGAGACTCAGACAGGGTAGGGTGCTGAGGTGTCTGCGTGTGTTTCATGTGGATGCCTGTGTCTATTCTGGCCTGCTCCTGGGCCCCTCCCCACTCAGCCCTGGCTGATGAGAATGGGACAGGGTCTCCCAGCACCGTGCTTTCTCATGTCCCTGTGCAGCCTCGGCCCAGGAGGTAGCAGAGCATGTCTGGGTGTGCCCTCCTGAGTGTCCCCATACATCTGTCCTTCCTGTCTTTGCATACCTATGTGACTCCCCCATGTTTGTGTCCTTATGTGTCCCATGCATGCTCCCCATCTGACCTTGCGTGTTCCCGCATGTCTGTGTGTGGCCGGTCCTGCCTTCACCCTCTCATGGGTGGCCCTGGCAGCATGTCTGGCTCCCCAGCAGGTGAGCCCAGGAGATAAGATGGAAGATGCAACAGCCAATGGTCAAGAAGACTCCAAGGCCCCAGATGGGTCCACACTGAAGGCCCTGGGCCTGCCTCAGCCAGACTTCCACAGCCTCATCCTGGACCTGGGTGCCCTCTCCTTCGTGGACACTGTGTGCCTCAAGAGCCTGAAGAATGTAAGGATGGGGGCAGGCCAAGGCCCCTCGAGCTTCCCCACTGACCCTGTAATTTGCCCTGAGAGCACTCCGAGACTCTGACTCCCCAAACCCTCAAAGCTCCCCATCTAAACTCCCTCCCCAAGCCTGCCCGAGCCCCCCTCTACGTCCCTGAGCCTTCCTCTGAGGCTGGCCCCCTTTTCCGCTACAGATTTTCCACGACTTCCGGGATATCGAGGTAGAGGTGTACATGGCGGCCTGCCACAGTGAGTAGGGTGGGAACAGCAGGAGGGACCTGGGAAGAGGGTAGGATGCTTTTGGCCAAGGGGTTTTCCAAGTAGCACAAGGAAAAAAGTCTTTCTCTGGAACTGGAGGTCAGAGGTGTCCTGGGAGACAGGAGTCCAGGGTTACAAGTGATGTGGATTCAGCTGGAGCCTCAGGTGGTGAGGTCAGGGCATTCTGTTTTCTCCTGGGAGTTGAGTTCCTGGAGGTTCTGAGAGTCAGGGGAGGCCTACTTCTTGCCCACAGGCCCTGTGGTCAGCCAGCTTGAGGCCGGGCACTTCTTCGATGCATCCATCACCAAGAAGCATCTCTTTGCTTCTGTCCATGATGCTGTCACCTTTGCCCTCCAACACCCGAGGCCTGTCCCCGACAGCCCTGTTTCGGTGAGCCTACCTCTGGCCTGCTGAGCTCTTTTTTGTTAATCTATTGCTTCTCCCCACCCTGGGTCCAGCTCCAGGGAGTCTTTCCTGGTGGCCATGGTTTTGTCCCCAGTGGGCCCAGTGCTTTCCCCGCTGTCTTTGGATAAAGCTGTTCCTAGGGGTGGGGGTTGGTCTGTGTCCTTTGGAAACTGGAGCCTTCCCTCCTCTGCCCACTCAGGTCACCAGACTCTGAACATGCTGCATCCTGCCCGAGACTGCACCTCTGGAGGTTGTGACAGGGCACCCTTGAGAAGCCCCTCAACCCTAAGCCGCCTCCAGGTGCTACCCGGGAGTCCCCTCCATGTACACACACACAACTCAGGGAAGGAGGTCCTGGGACTCCAAGTTCAGTGCTCCAGGTCTGGGACAGGGCCTGCAGTCAGGCTGGCAGTGGCTGGTTACGGGGAGGGAACTGGTACATATTTAGCCTCAGGAATAAAGATTTGTCTGCTCAACTCCAGGCTCTGCTGTGGCTTGGTGGGGCCCCGGTGGTGGGTGGTCCACAGCTGTGGCTGCTGACCCTTCCTGTGCCCTGAAGGTGAGACGGGGCAGAAAGTGTAGGAAAGACACGGGAGGTCAGGGTACAGAGTGGGGGAGTTGTGGAGGCATCCCCTGTTTAGGTATCTCCCCAGCCATGCATAGCTCCCTCACTCCCTGTCTCCTCAGCTGTGGAACAGTTGGAACCAGAGCTGCTTCTCAGGAATAATTCACTCTCGGGAATACCCGATAAGGCACAGGGCAGTGTGGATGCCAACGGGCAGTCCCTGGAGGATACAGAGTGAACACCTAAGAGCAGCTGTTTCCCCACACTGCTACCCTATGCTTAAGAATAAGCATGACCGGGCTGGGCACGGTGGTTCACACCTGTAATCCCAGCGCTTTGGGAGGCAGAGGCGGGTGGATCACTTGACGTCAGGAGTTTGAGAACATCCTGGCCAACATGGTGAAACCCTGCCTCTACTAAAAATACAAAAGTTAGTCGGGCATGGTGGTGCATACCTGTAATCCCAGCTACTTGGGAAGCTGAGGCACGAGAATCACTTGAACTTGGGAGGCAGAGGTTGCAGCGAGCAGAGATCATGCCACTGCATGGGTGACAGATAGATCACCTGGGCATGGTAGAACACTGTCAGCCAAGGAGTGTGTGTTGATTTCTGCCATTAAATGCCGACATCTGGGCATGTGACCCAGCAGGCAGTAGGGCGTTGGGCCAGCTGACACAGTGATGGCAGGGGAGGGACCAGGTCCTAGGATCTGTCTGGTCCTCAGTGTACTGTTCATTTGTAGAGCGTGAGTGGTCACAGTTCTTGTTTCATGGGTTGCTCAGTGAATATTAAATGAGTAGATGCCGAGCCTATAATCCCAGCACTTTGGGAGGCCCGAGGCAGGTGAAACCCCATCTTTACTAAAAATACAAAAATGAGCTGGGCATGGTACCAGGTGCCTGTAATCCCAGCTACTGGGAAGGCTGAGGTGGGAGGATCGATTGAACCCAAGAGGTGGAGGTTGCAGTGAGCTGAAATCGTGCTGGAGGGAGCTGCACTCCAGCTTGTGTGACAGAGCAAGACCCTATCTCAAAAATAAATAAATAAATGAGGAAATGCTGGGAAATGCTTAGAACAATGCTGGGCTCAGGTCCTCTGCTCCAAACATGTGAGCGCTGCTGTTCATCAGGTCCGAGCAGGTGCCAGGCCCTGTGCTGGGGTCTGGGCACCATCCTGAGCATGGACAGAGGCCACCCTGCCCTTCAAATCACAGAGACACCCTTGCCTGGCTCTGTTTTATCATGGCCTGTGTTGCTGCCTGGCACCATCATCCCCACCACCCCCATTCATGGCCTAGAAGCTCAGCCCCAGGAAATAAGAGCTTTTATTTATTCTGTCACACCACATCCTAGCATCAGAAATGGTGCCTGGCAGCTGCTCTGTAAATATTGTTTGAATGAAGCTTATATGTTGGAGAGGGCAGTAGATCTCAAACAGGAAATTTCAGGTATTTAGAAATGCTTTGAAGAAAATAAAGCAGGGTCATGTGATAGAGGTCATATGTTACCCAAGATGCTTATGGGAGGGGGACTCAGCAGGTGACCCTGGAACTGAAACTTCAGCCATAAGAAGGTGACTTTTTAGACGTGGGGAGCTGTGGTCCTGACACTGGGAACAGTGGGGGTATTGAGGGAGGCAGGGGCAGCATGAGCTGAGGTGAGAGGGTGAGGGGACCTCACAGTCCAGGGGAAGCCTTCGGGCTTTGTTCTGACAGTGGGGGAGCCGCCTGTGGATTTGGATCCCACATCTTCGAGCACTCACCCAACTGCGATGTGGACTGTGGGGCTGAGGCTGGGTGTGGGGGACCTGCAAGTTTGGTCAGCCTAGAGAGGTGATGCCCCTGGTGGAAAGCAAAAGGTTTTAGGGGCCATGTCGATTTTTTTTTTTTTTTTTTTAAATCGGCTCTTGCTCTGTCCCCCGGACTGGAGTGCAGTGCTGTGATCACCACTGTCTACAGCATTGACCTCCTGGGTTCAAGCGATCTTCCTGCCTCAGCCTCCTAAGTAGCTGGGACTACAGGCACACGCCACCACACCCAGCTAGTTTCCCCCCTCCCCCAAAAAAAGATGGAGTCTCACATGGTGAAACATGGAGTCTCACTGTGTCGCCCAGGCCAGAGTGCAATGGTACGATCTTGCCTACCGGGTTCAAGTGATTCTCCTATCTCAGCCTCCTGAGTAGCTGGGATTACAGGCATCCACCATCATGCCCAGCTCATTTTTGTAGAGACGAAGTTTCACCATGTTGGCCAGGCTGGTCTTGAACTCTTGACCTCAAGTGATCCTCTTGCCTCGGCCTCCCAAAGTGTTGGGATTACAGGCGTGAGCCACCGCACCCAGCCCCAGCTAGTTTTTGTTTGTTGGCTTGTTTTTTGAGACGGAGTCTCGCTCTGTTGCCCAGGCCAGAGTGCAGTGGCATGATCTCGGCTCACTGCAACCTCCGCCTCCTGGGTTTAAGCAGTTCTCCTACCTCAGCCTCCCGAGTAGCTGGGACTACAGGGGTGTGCCAGCATGCCCAGCTAATTTTTTTTTTTTTTGTATTTTTAGTAGAGACAGGGTTTCACCATTTAGCCAGATGGTCTCAATCTCCTGACATCGTGATCCACCCGCCTCGGCCTCCTGAAGTGCTGGGATTACAGGCTTGAGCCACTGCACCCGGGCTTTTATTTATTTATTTATTTTTGAGATGGAGTTTTGCTATTGTTGCCCAGGCTGGAGTGCAATGGCGCAATCTCGGCTCACCGCAACCTCCACCTTCCAGGTTCAAGTGATTCCCCTGCCTCAACCTCCTGAGTAACTGGGATTACAGGCATGTACCACCACACCTGGCTATTTTAGTAGAGACAGGGTTTCTCCATGTTGGTCAGTCTGGTCTCAAGCTCTTGACCTCAGGTGATCCGGCTGCCTTGGTCTCCCAAAGTGCTGGGATTACAGGCCTGAGCCATGGCGCCCGGCCTAGTTTTTAAAAAACAGTTTGTAAGGTCGGGTGTGGTGGCTCACACCTGTAATCCCAGCACTTTGGAAGGCCAAAGTGGGTGGATCACCTGAGGTCAGGAGTTCGAGACCAGCCTGGCCAACATGGTGAAACCCTGTCTCTACTAAAAATACAAAAATTGGGGCTGGGTGCAGTAGCTCAAGCCTGTAATCTCAGCGCTTTAGAAGGCCAAGGTGGGTGGATCACGAGGTCAGGAGATTGAGACCATCCTAGCTAACACGGTGAAACCCCATCTTTACTAAAAATACAAAAAATTAGCCAGGTATGGTGATGCACGCCTGTAATCCTAGCTGCTCGGGAGGCTGAGGCAGGAGAATCGTTTGAACCAGGGAGGCAGAGGTTTCGGTGAGCTGAGATTGCGCCACTGCACTCTAGCCTGGGTGAGAGAGCAAGAGTCTGTCCCCCAAAAAAAAAAAAAAAAAAAAATCCGTAGATGGGTTGTTACTATGTTTCCTAGACTGGGCTCAAATTCCTGGGCTCAAGAGATCCTCAGCCTCAGCCTCCCAAAGTGTGATTACAGGCGTGAGCCACTGCAGGTGTTTGGATTTTAGGGATTGGCTGATAGGTGAGGAGAAGGCCAGGGTGAAAGTGTTACTGAGCAAAACGACTCACTGCTTGAAATGCTAGAAACCAGTACTGTGACACTGGGTTTTGGGCTGAAGCAATCCTCCCGCCTTGGCCTCCCAAGTAGCTGGGACTACAGGTGCATACCACCATGTTGAACTAATTTCTTTTTTAAAAAAATATAGTGACGGAGTCTCACTATGTTGCCCACCGTGGTCTCACTCCTGGGCTGAAAAGATCCTTCCACCTCAGCTTCCCAGAGTACTGAGATTACAGTTGTGGGCCGGACACCAGATTCGGGTTCAAGTGATTTTCCTACCTCAGCCTTCCCAGTGGCTAGGATTACAGCAGTGGCGTGATCTTGGCTCACTGCAACCTCCGCCTCCCGGGTTAAAAAATTCTTGTGCCTCAGCCTCCTAAGTAGCTGGGATTACATGTGCCCGCCACCACACCCGGCTAATTTTTGTATTTTTAGTAGAGACAGGGTTTCACCATGTTGTCCAGGCTGGTCTCAAACTCCTGACCTCAACTGATCCACCCACTTCAGCCTCCCAAAGTGCTGAATTACAGGCGTGAGCCACTGTGCCCAGCCAAGAAAAGCTTTTTATTGCAAGTCAACTAGCAAGGAAGCAGGAGTCCAGCTTCAATGTGTCTCCCTGTGCTGGCTTTAAGGCAGTAATTTTATTAGAAAAGGTTTAGGGGATGGATACTGGGATTAGTAGGTGGGTGATTGGTAGAAGGAAGCAGGAGGTCTGGAAAGTTCTCAGGCATGTGCAATTAACTCTTCATGCCTCCTCATGGGTCTCCTGTGCAAATTCTGGAGGAGTTATATGAAACATGGTGGAAATTCAGGCTGTGATGTCAGCAAGCTCTTTCTGTGCACACTCCAGTCGGGAATATTGGGTCCATCTGATTTCAGTTTTGTTATCTTACAAGCAGAGGGAATTTCAGCGTTTCAGCAAGTTGTTTCTTTCCTTATCTACCATCCTGTAAACTCAAGGATTTCTAGGGGCCAGGCATGGTGGCTCACAGCTGTAATCCCAGCACTTTGGGAGGCTGAAGTGGCAGGATCACTTGAGGCTAAGAGTTTGAAACCAGCCTGGGCAACATAGTAAGACCCCTATCTCTACAAAGTAAATGTTAAAAATAAGTAAATAAATAAATTAGCCAGGCATGGTGGTGCACACCTGTAGTTTCAGCTACTCAGGAGGCTGAGGCAGAAGGATCACCTGAGCCCAGGAGGTCAAGACTGCAGTGCGCTGTCTCTTAAAAAAAAAAAAAAATTCTGTTAGTTACTGGTTTCTTTAATTGTTCGGGGCTTAGTTTCTTTTTTTATCTTTTTTGAGACAAAATCTCACTCTGTCGCCCAGGCTGGAGTGTAGTGGTGCAACCACAGCTCATTGCAGCCTCGACCTCCCAGGCTCAGGTGATCCTCCCACTTCAGCCTCCTGGGTAGCTGGGACAACAGGCATGTGCCACTATACCCAGCTAATTATTTGTATTTTTTATGGAGAGGGGGTTTCGCCATGATGCCCAGGCTGGTCTCAAACTTCTGGGCTCAAGCCATCCACCTGCCTCAACCTCCCAAAGTGCTGGGATTCCAGGTGTGTGCCACTATACCCAGCCTAGGGCCCAGCTTCAAAAGGAGGTGCTCCCTCAGTTTGGGGCCAGCCAGGCCCACTGGGAGAATAGGACCCAGAACCCAGGTCTGCCATTCTCCTCAAGCCCTGGACTCCAGCCCCCTTACCACAGCCAGTTTCTGGCCAGGCTGCTCATGAAAGGCCATGGGTCTCGCTGGAACCTGCTGCCTCAGAGCCAGGCCTGTTCTTGGGGGAGGGGCGTTTGCCGGTCGCCAGGCGACCAGGTTCCGGCCCCTGGCACTAGCGGCGGCCATGCTGCACGTGCTGGCCTCGCTGCCCTTGCTGCTCCTGCTGGCGATGCCTGCTTCAACCCACGCCTGGTCGCGACCCCTCTGGTACCAGGTGGGGCTGGACTTGCAGCCCTGGGGGTGTCAGCCAAAGAGCATGGAGGGCTGTAGGGGTGGCCTGAGCTGTCCTGGTTACTGGCTGGGCCCTGGAGCAAGCCGCATCTACCCTGTGGCTGGGGTCATGATCACCACCACCATGCTGATGATCTGCCGCAAGATACTGCAGGGGCGGCGGTGCTCACAGGCCACCAAGGGTGAGGTGAGCGCAGCTCTTTCTCCCCCACAGCCCCTGCCTCCATGTACGCCCAGTGAGCTGTCTTCCACCCAACCCTGCCCCATGGGTCCACACTGGCCTGTGGGCCTCCCACACTCCCACCCCCAGCTCACAGCCCATTGTCCCTGTGTCCACACACCTTCGTGGAACCCATGTCCACCACCCACAGCCAGCACCCTGCCCCCAGCTCTCCCCTTTAGAACCCTTGCTCTCATCCAGCCCCTGAGGGCCCCGTGACCACTGTAGCCCAAACAGACCCTCGGTGATTCTGTCACCCTGAGTCTCCCATCCCATCTGGGCACTGCCCCACACCCTACTCCCTGCTCCCCAGCTTCATCACTGCCCCTCATCGCACCTCCCTCTCTGCCCTCCATTCTCACTCCTGCCTCTTGGTCTTGTTCTCAGCATCCGCAGGTGACCACTGAGCCCTGCGGACCCTGGAAACGGCGGGCCCCAATCTCAGACCACACCCTGCTCCGTGGGGTCCTGCACATGCTGGATGCCCTCCTGGTCCACATCGAAGGCCACCTACATCATCTAGCCACCCAGCGGCAAATCCAAATAAAGGGGACTTCCGCCCAGAGTGGGTGACCAAACATGTGCCTCTCTCTGCCTGACAGCCTGGGGTCCTGGGCCAGGTCTGCTCTCTCCAGGCCTGTCTGGACCCTGTGTCCCTTTTCTACTTTTAAAGCCAGCTGACTTGGTGTCCAGGACAGGCGGGCAGGTGGGGCACAGGCTGGCTCACACTGCTCCATTGCCCCCACCAACTGACTTTTCCTCCCTAAGGATCCCTCCTGGAGACACAACTGCTCCTCTGGGCTGGGTGTGGTGGCTCACACCTGTAATCCCAGCGCTTTGAGAGGCCAAGATGGGAGGATCACTTGAGCTCAAGAGTTTGAGACCAGCCTGGGCAATATGGCAAGACCGCATCCCTACAAAAAATACAAACAAAAAGTTAGCTGGGCATGGTGATGTATGCCTGTAGTACCAACTACTCAGGAAGCTGAGGTGGGAGGATGACTTGAGCCTGGCAGGCAGTGGTTGCAGTGAGCCAAGATTGTACCACTGCATTCCAGCCTGGGTGACAGAGCGAGAACTTGTCTCAAACAAAAACTGCTCCTCTGGCCTGACCAGTACCTGGGGACTCCCAGTGTGATGGGAGAGGACTTACCATTGGGACAGACTTGGGTGGCTCAGGAAGGGCTGCCCAGAGGAGCCTGGCTGAGCCCTGAGGGGAAATGGCTATAAAGAAGGGAACTTCAGGTGGAGGTCTGGTTCTGAGCAAAGGCCACGTGCTGTCTTTGGTACTCTCTGCACATGGACAAGGTGGGCAGTGCCCATGATAAAGGGCCTCAAGTGCCGAGTGAGGGTCCTGGGCCTCTCCAGTGCACAGGGGGAGCCGAGGAGGGACCTGGTCAGCTGAGAAGAGCAGTGGTGAAGTTGGAACCAGACACTGAGGATCTCTGATGGGGGACTGAGAGCTCCAAGCCCCCAGTCACTGTAGAGTCACACACCCTTTGGCTTCACCCATCCTTGTCACCACCTCATGGAGGTGACTTTAGTCCTGCCATCAATCAGCAGCTGGCTCTGGTTTCTTCTTCCCAGGCCCTGCAAGGCCCTCCCTTGAGGGGCCACTGCTCTGCCTCCAATAACAGCCCCTCCCCAGATCCTTGGCTCCAGCAACCCCAACCTGGGGTCAGGCAGGCCGCCCTAGCTGCCTTTGTTTCTATGGCAGTCTCAAACGTGCTCTAGTACCTCAGTGGCCCTTGCTCCAAGGCCCCTGGAGAAGCTCCATGAAGGGACCCTCACTTTACTCCCTTTCTCTTTCTTTTTTCCCTTTTAAAAAATTGTTTCTTTTTGTGTTTTGTTTTGTTTTGAGACGGAGTCTCACTCTGTCGCCCAGGCTGGAGTGCAGTGGCACGATCTCAGCTCACTGCAAGCTCCATCTCCCAGGTTCACGCTATTCTCCTGCCTCAGCCTCCCAAGTAGCTGGGGCTACAGGTGCCCGCCACCAGGCCCAGCTAATTTTTTTGTATTTTTAGTGGAGACAGGGTTTCACTGTGTTAGCCAGGATGGTCTCGATCTCCTGACCTCGTGATCTGCCCGCCTCAGCCTCCCAAAGTGCTGGGATTACAGGTATGAGCCACCGCGCACGGCCTCTTTTTGTTTTTTTTTTTGTTGTTGTTGAGACAGAGTCTCGCTTTGTCGCCCAGGCTGGGGTGCAGTGGCCAGATCTCAGCTCACTGCAAGCTCCGCCTCCCGGGTTTACGCCATTCTCCTGCCTCAACCTCCCGAGTAGCTGGGACTACAGGCGCCCGCCACCTCACCCGGCTAGTTTTTTGTATTTTTTAGTAGAGACAGGGTTTCACCGTGTTAGCCAGGATGGTCTCGATCTCCTGATCTCGTGATCCGCCCGTCTCGGCCTCCCAAAGTGCTGGGATTACAGGCTTGAGCCACCGCGCCCGGCCTCTTTTTGTTTTTTTGACCAACTCAAGCAATCCTGCCTCGGCCTCCCAAGTAGCTGAGACTACAGGCATACATCACCATACCCAGCTAATTAAAAACATATATATTTGTAGAGATGGGGTCTCACTATCTTGCCCAGGCTGGTCTTGACTCCTGGCTTCAGCTGATCCTCCTGCCTCAGCCTCTCAAAGTGCTGGGATTACAGGCATGAGCCACAGTGCCTGTTCCAGGTTCCTGTTTTAGAAAAAGAGAACAACGTTATGAATTCAAAAATGGAAGTGAATTAAAATAATGAGAAAAGAAATGATGAAACTTTTTTTTTGGAAACTTTTTTTTTTTGAAAACTTTTTTTAAATTGACAAATACTACAATACTAAATCCAGAAAAATAACATAATTTGTGACAACTTCCTGACATATTTCTATAATACTTTGGTCCCCTACATGGTTTGGCTTCTTACTCTGAAGGCCTCCACATAGGACAAGGATTTTGTGATTTTGGGGGGATATTTTCCATACAGAGAAAAGATAGTTCAGTCTTCCTCCTAACATGGTTGAAATTTGTGTTTTAATTATTGGTAGTTTAGGAAAGTTAAAATTCCTAACCTGTTGATGATGACATATAAATGTTCTAGATTGTTGTAAAATTTGAGAAACTGTCATCAGCCATCTGTCATATAGGAACTGTGAAATTTGGAAGGATTTACCACAGATGAGGTTCTGGCTCCACGCATTTCAAACCTTGTTTTCCTTCCATGGCTCACAGTTTTCCCAGCACTGGGTGCCGTGGGGCATGTCCTTAAGGCAATAGGACTTTGCACTTCTGTCCTTACCCAGCAGGATTTTCCTACAAGCCACATTCCTAGTTTATTCTAGAACAAGACCAATAAACTAACTTTACACAAGGGTGGAGCAAACCACATAAATATGTCCCTCTAAACCTGGTGTAGAAAGTGAAAAAAAAAGTTCCTCTTCAAAGTTTCCCTTGTTAAAGAATAAATTATGTGTTAAAATAATAGTTTAGTTTAAAGACTAACTTCCTTTAAGCCTCCTCACTTTGTTAAGCCCTATCCTATGTAGCTGTTCGATATAAAGAAATAAGTACATTCTATGTCCTTGTACTTTAACCAAGGTATTTGTGCTGGACACACTCACAGGCACATTCCAACTTGCAGCCTATGTGCCTGCCTTATTTCGAAATGTTATTACTTTTGGCCGGGTGCAGTGGCTCACACCTGTAATCCCAGCACTTTGGAAAGCTGAGGCGGGCAGATCATGAGGTCAGGAGATCGAGACCATCCTGGTTAACACAGTGAAACCCCACCTCTACCAAAAATGCAAAAAAGATTAGCTGGGCATGGTGGCGGGCGCCTGTAGTCCCAGCTAGTTCAATGGTGAGAACCCATGGCGGAGCTTGCAGTGAGTTGAGATTGCGCCACTGCACTCCAGCCTGGGCGACAGAGTGAGATGCCATCTCAAAAAAAAAAAGAAAGAAAGAAATTTTATTACTTTTCTAAGTCCTTCTAAGTCTTTTTGGTTTTTTTTTTGTTTTTTTTTGTTTTTTTTTTGAGACGGAGTCTCGCTCTGTCACCCAGGCTGGAGTGCAGTGGCCGGATCTCAGCTCACTGCAAGTTCCGCCTCCTGGGTTCATGCCATTCTCCAGCCTCAGCCTCCCGAGTAGCTGGGACTACAGGCGCCCGCCACCTTGCCCAGCTAGTTTTTTGTATTTCTTAGTAGAGACAGGGTTTCACCGTGTTAGCCAGGATGGTCTCGATCTCCTGATCTCGTGATCCGCCCGTCTCGGCCTCCCAAAGTGCTGGGATTACAGGCTTGAGCCACCGCGCCCGGCTAAGTCTTTTTGTAAGCAACTTCCTCTTTTCCTTTGTTCTCCCTTGCCTTTACCTATTTAAGAAAGTTTTAAATTATTAGCCAGTCAAGTTTAGCTTAGATTGTGCAGTCCAGCTCCAGCCAATGGAGACAGGACACAGTAGCAAGGACAAGCTGCATAAAGAATAAAAATTGCTTCCCTCCTTTGTTCAAGTGTGCTCTCACCATTGTTTCATCTGAAAGGAGCACCCTTTCTGCAGAAAGTAAATTTGCCTTGCTGAGAAAACTTTTTGTCTCAATGCTAATTTTTCCTTGCAGTACTGAAGAACAGCATTCTGTTTCTGAATAAACATTTTACTTATAACACCCGGTGTTTCCCTGTGGTAGATTCAGAGGTGTGCCACATGAAGGCCAGCTGCTGCCAGCCACTGGGGAGACAGCCAGCAGACAGGTCCACTCTGGCTGTGCAGAGCCCCTATAGCCAGACTTCTTCCTTGCCCAACCCTTTCCCTCCTTCCCTCAGGTGCTCATCTCAAGGGACTCTTATAAATATCTTGTACACTGATCTTCCTCTTGGAGTCGGATTCCTAGAGAACCCAACCTGGGACCATCCTCAACCCACCTTCCCCTTGGCTGGACCCTGAAAATGCCACAGCCTCTCTGATGTCCTCCAAGTAAGGGGAAGTAGGCTGGAGTCAAAAGAGAGACAGGGTCTCACTATGTTGCCCATACTGGTCTCAAACTCCGGGACTCAAGTGACTCTCCCACCTTGGCCTCCCAAAGTTCTGAGATTATAGGCATGAGCCACTGCACCTGGCTGAAAAAGAGATTGACAGGAAGTATCCCTCAGGAAGCCCAGACATTGGAATTATTAATCAAAAACAATAAATCAACTGTCTTAGTATGTTCAATGAACTAAGGGAAGCCATGGACAAGAACTAAAGGAAATTAGGAAAATTATGTCTGAACATAAAGAATATTAACAAAGAGAAAAAATTTAGAGGGACCAAACAAATTCTGAACCTGAAAAGTATAGTAACTGAAATGAAAATTTCATTAGAGGAATTCAGCAGCAGATTGGAGCAGGCAGAATAAAGGATCAGTGAACTTGAAGCTAAGATAATTAAGGCTGGACGCCATGGCTCACATCTGTAATCCTAGCACTTTGGGAAGCAGAGGTGGGCAGATCACCAGGAGTTTGAAACCAGCCTGGCCAACATGGTAAAACCCCATCTCTACTAAAAACACAAAAATTAGCTGGGCGTGGTGATGCACTCCTGTAGTCCCAGCTACTCCGGA